TTTTTCAATTCAAAACATAAAAATAGAAAAAAATATTTTCATTAAATAGGTAATCAAAAATTAGAAATATGGAAACGTACAGATGGAACAATTGTCGGACGAAGTCTTGATGATGGACAATCGACTAATAATCAAAATGATTTCGATGGTTGCGTATCTCAACAAGAGGTAAATAAGCAAAAAAACGAATATTTCTATTGTTGTTTTTTTTTTTTTTCTACAGCTTATTCATTGGTTTACGTTGAATTATATTACATTACATGGTAAATTATATACTAAAACAGGGTAAGATAATTAAAAAAAAAACAATTTTAATGAAATATTTTCTTTTTTGAATAAAGAATGGAAACATATACAGAATTATGTTCACGAATGCTTCATCAATTTCAATATTTACTTCGTCATGATCCATGTGTATTTGGTAAACAACAATTAGTACAAATGATGGCTATTAATATGTATCAAATTGAAGTTGCAAAACAAGTTAATGTATCAGGTATTTTATGAATATTGATTTTTTTATCAATGTATAGATTCAATAAAACTTTACAAAGATAAAAAGAAAACGATTATTTCGAATACTATTACATTTAGGATATTTGTTTATGGAACTCACATGAAGAAAATTATAGTGAGCCTAAGGCGAGGTTTTGTCCCCTTGGTTCCTCTTTAGACTCCTTTCCTAGAGTTTCTCAGTAACGAAAAAAGGCGCATTAACTACAATAGCTAGATAGTGCTAGAACATTCCATAGCCTTCCTCTAAATTTGAATGGCGGAGATACGTTTGTGAATATTCCAAATAGTGGATTCTTTTAATTTGGTGCAAAATAAAAAATTTATTTTCAAAATGTCAAGGATGATGCATAGGTTAGCCACAATGATCAAATAATTAATATAAACAACGAGGGTTCATTAAATTATAACTTTGAGAAATAACCAATATCATTCACCTAGTAATCGATTATCTTTGGCAAACAAATATAGTTTTCTAAAGATTTTTTCCTTTTACGCATTTTTTATTAGTATAATAAATCAGACCGAACCGGTCTACTAACAGACCATCTTGTCTGAAACTGTGCATCAGTACTGATTTCATCTTTAGGGAACGACTACGCTGACAAGTATTTTTTCATTAATCTACATAAATTTTGGAAAACTAAATTTTCTTAATTTGTTTTTTTTTGCTAAGTTGATATTGTTGTTCGGTCTCAATATGAAGAATCATCACTTCAATTAGCACTTGATATGTTTGGTTTATTAACTGAACAAACAGCTATTGTTCTTGAACGTCATTTAAAAGTTCGTTCGACAATAACTAATTCTGAAACACCATCACCGATATTTAATAGTTGGTTACGACATGTATTTCCATCATTAAAAATTTTTACTGATTGGATGACATGTAATGCTAATTCATTTATACCATTACCGGATCAATTACCGGCTGAATTTGGTCCACATCCAGATATATTAATGTCACTTGCAAAAGTTATTAATTTAATGCGAACTATTGATAGAACATATATTCAACTTGGTTCGAATTTAGCAAGTATGTAGATTTACAAAAAAAAACAAATTTATTGTTTTTTTTTTTTGTTAAGATTCAATACCAGTTATTTTAGAAGAAGATATTGAACTTAGTGGGTTTTATCCATTACTTACATTACCAGCTGATACATTACAAACAACAAGTGACACACCACTTGTAATAAAACAATATATAATTGAATTTATAAAATATATCTTTTTTATATTCTTAAGGATGAAGCAAAAGATTCAAAACGTATTATTCGTTTATGTTTTTTTGCTGATTATTTATGTGGTCTTAAACAACCAATATTTATTTATGATGTTCAACAAAAAACTTATCATCCAGCTTTGAAATCATTAATACATTCTGAACGAAGTAAAAGTCCAACAAATAACAACCAAGTATATTTTCTTTTTGTCTTTTTTAAAAGAAAATAAATAAAAAAAAAATAATTTTTTTTTTTTCCTTTAGAATTCATCAGTCGATCATGAATACAATACAAACGAACCTATATCTCCATTATCGAATTCGAATAGTATTGATCCATCGTCACCAGATTCAATTGTTAATGGTATTGATATGAAAGAACTTAAACGTAAAAAACGACAACTTGAACATCAATTAGCTGAAAAACAAAAACAAGAACAAGTTGTTAAAGTAAGAAAATAAATGATTGATGATATATGAATAAATTATATTTATATAGGATATTCTCAATACATCACGATTAATCGAAATTGAAGTTATACCACGTTTTATTGTTCTTGATACAAATTGTTTTGTTAATTATCTTCCTATTATATATAAATTAATTAAACAAGGTCGATTTATAATAATTATTCCATTAATTGGTTAGTAAAAACAAAAATTTTTATTTTTTTCTGAACAAAAAGAAAAAAAATGTTCCATTTGCTTTTGTTTTCTTTTTTTTTTTTTTTTAGTTATTTGTGAACTTGATAAATTATCTGTAACAACAATTGTCGATGATGATTCATATGAACATGCTGAAATGGTTCGTCGACAATCAATACAAGCTGTTAAAATGATTGAAGAATGTTTTGCTAGTAAAGAACGACGTGTACAAGCTATGACTGGTGAAGGAACTGTTTTAGATTCTATTCAATTTCGAAATGAAGTGAAAAAACATGTAAGAATAAAACAACACAAAAAAAAATCAAATTTTATTTTAAATATTTATTTTCATAGGAATCAAATGATGATACAATTTTAGGTTGTTGTTTGAAATATGTATGTTTTTAAATAATAGTATTCTTTGTTGTTTTTCATTTTTATATAAAATTCTTTTTTAGTGTCATGATAATCCAAGAGAATTTTTTCCACCAAATAAAGGTAAATTTTTCTTTGATCAGATTATCGAAGGAACATATTAAACTGTTAATCATCGATCGAAGTGATATTTTGCCCATAAGTAGAGTTCAGAAAGACTAGAACAAACATGAAAAGAATTTCTCTGCGTAGACCTCTCTTATCGAGTTGTGACCGTTTTATCAGATTTTCAGCTTATGGCAAGGTAGATTGGTTCCATTTTTGTACTCAGTATGCAAATATTGAAAAGAAAAGAATCTGATTTGCCTCAAAACTCTCAGTATATTCTAAGGATCAAGAGATCTGTTTACGGGCAACGTTCAAGTGTTTGAAACTTTGTGCAAATAGAAAATTCAACTAGATTAACTGACATAAAATTCAGAATTTTTGACTAGAGTCTCTATGGCGTATCAAGCTTTCAAAAAATGTATGTTGTGTACCGGTTGAGTTCTCTATATGAACAAAATTTCAGGTCAAAATTCAAAAGCTTAGTAAAATCTCAGCAAGAATCAAAATTCTTTTAGGATTTTTATTAGAACACTATGTAGTATCTATAGACAAAAAAAATCATTGAAATCAGTCGAAGAGATTCTCTCGTTAGCCCTACTTATGAGTAAAATATCACTTCGATCGATGATTAACAGTTGAGTATGTTCTCTCATAAATAAAATATTTTTGTTTTGTTTTAGATGGAGCTATTCGATTACATCGAGAAGTTGTACTTATAACAGATGATCGAAATTTACGTTTAAAAGCTCAAGCTCGAAATGTACCTGTAAAAGATTTAATGAAATTTCTCGAACTTGCTCAAGTTACTTTATAAAAAGTTATATATATATATAAGATTGAAACATTTAAAATCTTATTTCAAAAGTATATAAGAAAGAAAAATGTACATCGATAAATGATAATAGAAAACTTCTATATGATGGATAAAGGTTTTATTTTTAATATCAAATCAAGTATATTCAATATCTTCTCAATATGTAGCCGGTGTTAAATCAAGAAAAATAATAAAGTTGACTGATTCGTTTCGTTTATTATTTACAGTTAAAGGAATTGTTCATTCTTGCTGTTTACTTAGATGCTTATTATTATTACTCTTGTTCTTTTTTGTATACGTATATTGAGAAAAAAAGAATTTTTCTCTTTAGAATCAACAATTAAAGTGAAAAGAAATTGTAGTTAGGAAGAAGAAGAAAAAAAGAGATCTCTTTGTTTTACTTTTTGTTCTGTTTCATTTTTCTTTTTTCATTTATATTATTTTGATAAATGTGTGTGCATGTTACATAGAAGTCAAGAAATATTTGTGCACTAATAAATCATGATGCTGTTCTATTCACACGTGTTCATCTAAAGTTCTTTAATTGTGTATAAAATAAAATATAAGTTTTGAATGAAATCTTGAAAATAAATAGGATATCAACATATTTTGACTGATTCAAGTTCTTTATAACAGCAATACAATAAACTGCATTAAATTAGGTAGGTTTTATCAAAATACCACATGAAGTCATAAAGATGCATGCAATGTTGTGTATACAATATCTAAGTATATCTTGATAATATAATTCAATTGAGAGATACAATGACTGCTTTCATTTTTTTTTAAAAAGAAATATTATCTTGTTTTGAATAATGAAATATGAATCGTAAATGTAAATAGAAACCATTTAATATCTGATGATGTACTTGGTATTGATCATCAAAAAAAAAGAACAAAAGACACCTAAAAAAAAAGTCTGCTAAATCGATGTTTCTTCTTACTTTCAACATAAATGTCATGCTTTCTTCTCGTTTACGTGGACATTGTCATACAATGAAGAAAAAACATGCATTTTTCATCTTTCATATTATTGATTCCTTAAGAATTACATGGATTTTATCATCATTCATATGTAAAATATTATCTTGAAAATTATACTATCCACCAATATTCAATAAGATATTTTTATTTGAAATCATGATTTTTCTTATATAAATTTTACAATTATGATCACCACTAGTACTCATGAATTATTGATTTATGAATATAGATTTCTATGCGTTGGCGTTTTTCTTTTTTTCTTTATAGCTTGTAATTTCAGATAATAAAATATCTTTCTTACGTCTATTCATATTGATAAAACAAACATAGAAGAAAATGGAAAATCACGAAAATGAACGTAATGCTGCAACAATTTATTTGTTGGGTAAAACTTATTTAACTAAAAATGAAAAATTTTATATTCGAAATGATCCTATTATACATTTGGCTGCAGGTGATAGACACACAATTATTGTTACTGAAAGTGGTCGAGCATATTCGTTTGGTGATAATAATTCAGGTAAAAAAAAATCAAGGCATAACTTTTCTTTTTTTTTTTACTTTGAAGTTGTTGTTTTTTTCTTCTTGATTTCAAACATTTAGGTCAATTGGGTCTTGGTCATATAAATCATACAGACAAAATTTCATGTATAAAAGGTTTAAAACTTTTTAATACAAAAGAAAAAATTATATTAGCTGCATGTGGTCGTGATTCGTCATTAGTTGCTACAAACCAAGGTTCATTGTATGCATTTGGTTTGAATAATCGGTGTCAATTAGGTTTTGAAGCAAAAGAACCAACAATTATTTATCCTTATCCTGTTAAAATCGAATATTTTCGTTCAACAATGTCTTGGAAACAAATATCAATGGGTGCTGAACATACATGTGTATTAAATAATGATGGGGTAGTTTATGTTTGGGGTTTAAATGAAGATGGTCAATGTGGACAAGCACGTAAACATAATGTTATAAGAATACCAACAGAACTTCAATTAGAATATCCTGTCGTTGCTATGTAAATTCACAAAACGAAGAAAAAAAAAACAATTATGAATTTTTCTTTCAGATCATGTGGATATTATCATACAGCATTAATAACTGAAGGTGGTCGATTGTTTCTATTCGGAAATAATCATGATGGACAATTAGGATATTCAATATCAACTGAATATGTTGGTTCATTCGAAATTTCATTACCAGATCCTGTCAAAGCTGTTGCATGTGGAAATCAACATACTGTTGTATTAACATGCAAAGGAGAAGTCTATACATGTGGTATGATATTTATAGTTTTTTTTTCTCATTTTGTGAAATACCATCTAAAAGAAGTGCTAAAGTATAGAGGTAGAAATTTTTAATCATTCCCTTAATAGACGTCTTAGCGACGTTGCATCTCTCTGTTATAAATGTTGTTGATATACGATCAAAAACTATATATATATCAATAACATCTTTTTTTAATATGTGAACTATTTCTTTATTGCACGTCTGAAGGATTGAGTATAAGTATGATGAAGAAATGTGTCCCAAAATAGATAGACTAAAACAATTTTCCTGTGATTAGCTACAGTTGATACATTATGTTTTACATTTTACTTCTACAGACATTGTGTTTACAATTTTTATAATTGAGATTGAACAAAATGTATGGTGAACTTAAAGTCGTAGTAGATTCTATTTGTTCTAAATTTATTTCATTTTCAATTTAAACAAAAAGAAAAAAAATTTTTATTTTGTCAATAAATTTAACAATAATTTATTTATCATATTTTTAATTAATAGGACAAGGTGATTGTGGTCAACTTGGTCTTGGTCCTAATGTTCAAATTGCAGCAGATTTTAAAGTTCTTGAAAATTTACCAAAATCTTTTACAGCTATAGCTGCTGGTAAAGCTCATACAGCCATTCTAACTCATAATGGTGATATATATGTATTTGGTGATGCTAAATATGGCAAACTGAGTTATGAAATTTATTCAAATGAATTTGTGCCACATTCTATTAATAAATTTCAAGAACATAACGTATTAAAAGTTGTTTGTGGTGGTTGTCAAACAATCATACTTGCTCAAAAGAAACAACAAACTGCAAATGCAGAAAATATTCGAAGTATAAAATTGTTTAATTTTTTAGATTAAAACGAAAAAAAATTTTTTTTTTTCAGATACAACAAATTCAAAAACTAAATCTTTAAAAAGTCTTACTGGTATTAATCCGTCTCCATCTGAGACTAATCATACGAATACAACAGATAGTTCAGTAGTTACATCTCTTCAATATTTTGAACATTTCGAAACAGCAACGAATACAAATTCTTCAATAAACTCTCCTTTATATACTAAACCGAATTCTGATTCTGATGGATTATCAGTATTCATGAAAAGTGCATTAATGAATACAACAGAGATAAAAGTAAATGGAACATTACAGTCAACATCAACTTCATTGGAATCAACAAGTTTATCTATAAAAAATGACGATGTGAAACCTGTAAAAACACGTGCAATGGATCGTATAGTTCCTCTTATTACTATAATAGATGATTTAACCAAATCAAATCATGGTTCTTCATCTACTGATCAATCTTCTTTAGATAAGACAAAATTAAATCAGAGAAGTTGGAAAAATTATTTCAAAAAACAACAAAATTCTGCTGATGGAAAATCATCATCTGATGAACAATCGCTATCAGTATCACAAGGAAATATTGAAACAAGTTCATTGAATGAAAATGATATTCATCTTAGTGGAAATTCAACTCCTACTAAAACCTTAACAAAATATTATCATCAAGAAACATCATCCAATAAATCTTGTGATAGTAACCATTGTTCATCATCATCATCATCATCATCATCATCATCTTTATCATTATCAACAACTAATGTTCATGATTCATCATCTATTTCATCAGTATTCGATGACAATAAAATAATAACTTCAAAATCATCTCATGATTGTCAAAGTGGTGTTCATTTCTCTACAATTGCAACAAATTCAAGTATTGATTCAACAAAAAAACCGATCAGAACTGAATTACAACCTGGATTTTTTGCAAAAATTCTAAGTACAAAATCTTCACAAAAATTATCAACAACTACAAATAAGAATTCCAGAACATGTTTAATTATGTAAAATCTCATGTTGTATTTCAGAGATGGAACCATTACCGGCAACCGGTCGATATGAACTGTTTAGACAGGTTCCATATCTGATAATGACATCTAATACAATAAATCAATATTCTGTTGTATTGTATTGTTGTTAGCAAAAGATTGTATATTGAACATCTTGAAAGAATCGTTTAAATCTCCAAAATATATGATTGAAGTTAGTAATTTATGTTAGTCAACTACAAAATAAAGCTTTAGTACGTAAACTTGTCAATAATCGGTAGGTCAGTATTTACTGGTCTGATCGGCTTTATGTCTTTTTTATTAATTACATGTTATCAATATTCGGTTAAATGGCGCCTGATAAGACAATGTAACATGATCTTTTTTTGTCTCAGACATTTATTATTGTCTAGTATTCTCAAATATCCGAGACAAAACAGCATTTTTGATAAGGTATTGTAGACATATAGATTGAATTAATTCATGTGCATTCGTTGTAGTCAATTAAAGGGTATGTTTCTTGATTTTCTTTGTGAGAAAAAGTCCATAGTTTTAATCATACTCCGATTTCAGTTATAATAATCATTATTCGTGCTATCAATGAATCCGTGGATCTATACTCCCTCGGACAAAAAAAACGCCCTTTTTCCATTTCATTTTTGCATCACTTAATAAATTGTTTTAGAAAAACAAAATATACCAGGAGATGCAGCGTGAAAAGAACTACAATGTGCAAAGTAAAGCTTATTTTAATTTTGTACTTTTTGTTTTCAAAAGAAGCAAAATTGTGTGCGACCAATTTTCGACGCTGGGAAAAAATCATTTTTTTCTATGCGAACGAGAAATTCCTTTTTCCTTATTTCATCTTTTTANAAATGTAAAAGAAGAAATAAATTCTCTTTTAATGAAACTATAGTTTCAATTTTAAAATAATGAAAAATAATATTAATATTAAAGAAATGATCTCTTCTTTAATAGTTATACGTACTATGCTGTAGCTTAAATCATTCGATTTTCATATGGTAATTTTTAGAAAATATTACATGATATAGACGTTTTTGTATATGAAATTAACTAATCTTCATGAGCTATCGAAATTGTTTTGACCAAATATTGAAGATGAATAAGAAAATAAGAATCTTAAATAATTATATATTTTAAATCAAACTATAGGTTCATTAAAAGAGAATTTATTTCTTCTTTTACATTTTTTATTTCAAAAGAGTATAAAGAAAAAAAAAAATGAGAGGTGAGTCCATTTCTACTGTTCATGGAAAATTAATGTGTTTAATGACACTTTTGAATGTTAATGAATTTAACAATTATAATTTTAACATAACTAACAACTCGAATCATAAATGACGATGTTGTATTTCAATATTCTGTTCCTTTAATGATTACTTTGAGTAAATCCAAATGATGATTATCAAGGTCATGCATAAATCTTTAATGGAAAAGAAAATTTACACTGAAAATAATCATGCTTTCAAATATGAATCCCATAACTCTTTAGATTTATCTAGAATATGTTCAACACGAATGCTGATGTTGACAGATATTTGATATTGATGGATTGCTAAAAAATACGTTCACTTATTCATGTTTCATGATTTCAGGTATTTTTGATGAACAACGGGTAAGACAGATTAAATTGTCGGTTTTTGTCAACTATATTCGAATTAATTACATAGTTTTATTTGCAAAACAAAATATAGAATTGAATAGAGAAAATAAAGCTGCACAAATTCATATAGGAAGCTAATTTAAAATAAGCTTTCTTATGTCCAGTAATTTCGAAAATCTGACATTCTCAAGAGCTACTCTTGCTTCCTTGTACATTGGTTAAAGTAGTGGTACGAAGTATGACAGATCAAATGAATGATCTTTTCGCGATGCATCCTGATATAGAATTTAATCTTACTCTAATAGCGAAGTATACCATCCGATATAGCTAACACTGTTAGGATTCTTACGCCTTTTTATTTAGAATTTTAAAATGATGACAAAGAGACTTAAGTCTTCACAGAAGAAAAAAACAAAACGAACAATAACTTTAACAAGATAGAAAAAAGATAACAACAATAACAAAAAAGCATATACTCTGACTAGATATCTCTGATGAATCATATATCACACTCGAACGTGAACTAGAAAAAAGGAAATATATTTTATTTAAGGAGGATCAACCATCTATGTAAAATAGACGGCAAATCCTAACAAACACAAATCTATTTTACATACAATAAACTGCTATGATATAAGCACTGTCATGTTTAGAACTTTTGAAAACGCGCTATGCTCCAGACTGACACAGTTTGTCAGTTCATTTTTATAGATATTGTATGTCCCTTGCAGTTTCTTGTTGTGAAACAATATAATTGATGTAAGCATGTTTAAAATGGCTATATTTGTAATGTCATTCTTTAACTGACCGAAAATTCAAAAGATTGAGTTTCACAACAAGAAATAAAAAGACATGTAAGACTTATCTAATAAATATACGAACGAGCAAGAATAGTTTTTGAGCATGTCATTGTTCAGAAATTTCTAGACATAAGAAAACTTATTTAAAATTAGCTTTCTATCAGAATTTGTGCAGCTTCATTCGCTCTATTGAATACCATATTTTGTTTTGAAAACTAAAGTAAATAATTGATTCGAATGTAGTTAACAAAAACTGGCAATTTAAACTTACTCACTTGTTATATTTATGTGATAAATCTAAAATTAAATAAAAATTTGTAAATAGTTTTAGATAAAGATAAAAGATGAAACTAAACAGTATTGACTTCTTGAATCAAATAAAAAATACGATATTTATTATTAATCTTAGAACATGATCATAATTCGATAACTATAACATAGAGTTTATAAGAGAACTCTATTCTATAAATTTGATCTTTGTTACATTCTCAATCTGATGCTGTTCTCTTTAAAAAATATTTGTTAATAAATGATATTTCTAAGAGATATGTATGCAATGTACGGATGTTTATATGAAAATGACGACGAAAGTATATCTCTTTTTTTGTTTCATGTCTAATAGAAAATATTAAGTGTACCTGCCTTGTTAGTGAGCACATCATGTACTTTTATAGTTACATAATTGACAAATCAACAAGAATCGAAGAAATAAAAACAAAGAATATCTATAGCAATATCAAGAAAGAAAAGACAACAAACAATGACATGACAATGCCTTCCAGTAAAATTATTGTTTGCTTTTAGTAGCATTTAACAAAACAACCTCCTATGACAAAAACATTTTTTTCAAGAATAAGAGTATACTAATAGTAACTCTTTCAATCATATGACATTCATTCAAAAGATGAAAACTTATGTGAACATGAAAGCTCTTTAATCCATTAATAGTTCGAAATTTGTCAAATGAGAGACTCTGGTATTTATGACTTTGAACTTTGACAGAAAACTCGAAAAAAAAACAGTTTCCATTGTTTCAATATTAAAAAAGTGAAACAAATATAAATACATGAATCTTCTATAGCAGATATTTCCATGTATCTAAAACGAATTTGAAATCTTTCCCGTTACTTCAATGTTGATGAATATTTCGATGATTACATTCAATATTTTTCTTAATACTGTGCATAATATTCGATTTGTTGTTCGAGTTTTCTATTTATTCTATCAGTGTTCTTCTCGCAAAAACTTAATAACAAGCCGAATATAGAACAGTTTCCTAGAAGATAACTACTGATATGGTTGGATTCCTTTGGTGATATACAATTAAAAGCAATATTGAAATATTTATGTAAAAAGCTTGAACCGCTGTGCATGACAAACATTGATATACAATCATAGATCAATAATGTCTCATACTAATATTTGAATCAGTCTCTTATTACATATCTGAAGAGTAAAGTAAAACGATAGTGCAAAAATGTGTCTCAGAATATATAGAGTAAAACAGTTCACTATTATTAGCAAGAGCAACTAAGTTGTCTTTCACATACAAGTCACACAGAACTTGTGCCGACACCTCGCCAAAAGAAAAAAGACATTTTGAATTGTATTTTGTCATCTTAATCTTCAATTCATTGCTAAAGATATTTAGTGCGATATTCTCATCGATCTATTGTCATCTAGTTTGTTTTCAATATTTCACTTGCATCATTGAAAAAACTCAAATTTTTATTTCTTCACTTTTGAATAAATTTCAACTTTATAAGCATACAAACACTTGTATAAACTTTATATCAATTACTTAATATGTGTTAACACTTCATGCAATTTACGAACATATATTTTAAATCTCTTTTTCTCTAAATGCACGATTTTTATTTTTCAAAATAAAAACTAATTCACTTAGCAATTCGGTAGTAAAACATTTTTTTCAAACATGCCTGGACCCATAATATTTCCAGCTGGATAATAATTAGTTACCATATAAATTTCATGGCCATTAGGTGAGTAAGCTATTCCAACACCCAGTTTTTTCGATGATTTCCATACTAATTGTGTAAAATGACCCGTTTTTGGTGAAAATTTTGGACGTTGAAAATTATGCATTGATATTTCATCATACCAGCTTTTCATTGCATCTCTTGCAGAAGCTTTTACTCGACCAGCAGATATCCATTGCATATATAGATTTTCTCCTAATGGTTCATCTCCAAATTTATTTCCACTATGTTCGAACGTTGACGTTGCTGCTAAGTGTTCAGCATATGATTGAGCTATTTGATTTAACCGTTGACTTATAACAAGTGGTGGTGCACAATGACGTGCACGATAATTATTATGTAACTTCAACATATCATCTTGAAAATTTGAATTCGTCAAACGTTGTGTACGAGCTACAGTTTGAAAAAAAAACAACAATTTTCGTTTCATTCTACTTTNCAAAATGCGACAAATCGCACATAATCTGAAAGAGGACACTTTGGGCTCTCAGTATATGTGCTTATCTCAAAATCGATTTTTGTGAAAAAAATCGATTTTCTGAGGGAGGGGAGCCCCTTAAGTTATTTTTTTTAATTTGTTTCTTTTTAAAATTACTTGTGTAAGTGTCATGGCCAGTGGATTCCTTATATTCGTAAAAAGCTTATCTTAACAAAGTAGTGGAATATACTTTCGTATTAAAAATGGCCAAGGATATCAATTTATTCTTATATTTTAGTTTACGGATTTATGGAATAAAAAATCATCTTTTTCATAATTCACATTTTAAAATACCGATTCTACAAAATATTTTTATATTTAAAGAGAGATATGAATAACAATAATTTTTGTGTAAAATAAATTAATTTTGTGATGATTTAAATTATAAATAAATTTAGTTAGAAATAAGTTTTATTTTTAAATATGAACTGCTATCATTCGAATTTATTTTTAAATGTAAATTATCAAAAAAAAAATTTTTTTATATATTTATTTTAAATTAACAGCAAAATGACATCCCTGACTTTTACTCGTAGTAAAATTTACGTTAACAAAGTTTTGTCGAAATATACCTAGAAAATTCAACAACAGCAGATATACGTAAGTTTAGTATAATTGTATATTCCGTGCCTCCAAAATACAAGTTCATCTGATCGAATCTGCTCTACGCTAATCAAAAGCGAGTTGGAATGCGCTGAGTAAGCTCGAAGGTATATCGATGAACAAAATCGTTCTCAGAGAACGTTAACAAATACTGAACAGACTCGTTCTATAAACATCAAGTCTTGAAAAAAAAGTTGATTTTTCTATTTTTTTTTTCATGGGAACCATCTTTATTGATTAGAAGAAAATCGCGGAATAATCGCGATTTTTGTGAAGAAATCGGGAAAAAAATCGCCAGAAATCCCACAATGTGACGATTTTATCGCGATATAATCTCACAATTAATCCGCATGATAAATCGGGATAAATCGTCGATTTTTGCGCGATTTTCATCATATGGGCGGGATCCCGGCATTTTTCGTGGGATTGCCGGGATCTCGCGGGATCCCGGCAGGAAATTGCCGGGATGAAAGACATGGGTGAGTTCCCTTAAAAAATGTTGTTTTTGACATATTCAAAAAATGTTTTTCAAGTGAAATCTAAGAAAATTACCTTTAAACAAAAGTAAAAAGCCCCATAAGAACTGAAATACTCCAATAGCATCAAGTCTCGGTAGTCTCAATACTTCGTGAAAATTTATTTTTTTATTGTTGAGATTAATTCTCAATGAAATGAATATCATATTCAGAATCAGCAGAAAAATCTATATCGAATGGTCTACTCAATACTTAACACTATATTTCGTCAAATTTTAATCTTAGAAGGATCACAGGTCAGTTTATTCGAAAACAGCAATACGCGGATCGAAATTCGACGAAAACTTGTTTTTTAGTATTGAGTATATAATTCAATGTAGATGATCAAAATCTCTGAAAACAAATCCATATATATGGCGTTCCGTTATCATAACGAAAAATTAATGCACAACCTTTTTTTCTGACCATACAACGAATAAAATCAAAAAATAGTTTCCACTAGAAAAAATATTTTTCGAAATAACTCGACGAGTTCTATTCAATCATAATAAAAAAACATTAAATTACCCGAATTTTATGTTACCTTTACTTTTCTTTTCAATATTTGATAAAATACTTAACAAAGTTGATATAAGAAAATTTTTTTACTTTTGCATGTGCATTTCAAATCAACAACAATATTTATTCATATAAAAAATACATGCAGCGTTACTCAAACAAGAAAAAAAGCATCAAAACTATACAAATAAAAAGGAGATAATATAAAAAATGTTTTAATCTGTATTAAGAATCAAACACACACCTTGTAGAACCCATTTACTGATATGTTCATGTGTTGCTAAATCAGCTTCAAAAACAAGGCCAACACCCATTGCATTTCGTCTATCACTTGTTACATATACTGGACATCGAAAAGTATTCTAAACGAAAAAAACAATAGAGAGAATAATATTTATTTCTTTGATGTTAGAAAAAATATTTTCTTACTTGAAGTTTAAGTTTATGGGATTCAATTGGAATAACTTTCATAACTGGTAATTCTTGTATAAGTACTTTTGGTTTTTGTCTTGTTAAACAACTTCTATGTACATCCCATGATGCACCTTCAAGATAAAGACCAGTAACAAAACAACCTTGATGAGCCCGTTCATTAACATCTTCTTGTGTTTCCCATTGAGTAACTTGTGTATATAATGTTGATTTATCTAATGGCCAACCATTTTTTCTACATGTTGCTTGTACAAGTGCAGTTAAATATGATTCCGGTATATGAAGACCAGATAACCAAACAACATTTGGTTCACCATCATCAATCTAAATAGAAAATTTCTTATTTTAAAAAATGAAAAATAGACAAAAAAGAAATTTACCCATCCACTATAAAGTCGATTACGACGAAGAAAATGATCCATCCAAGTTGCTAGATTTTTCTTTGTTGCTGGTGTTAAACGTCTCCACATTGGTGGTAATTGTCCATTATAAAGTGCTCGAGATAAATCATCTAATTCATTTGACATTCCAACTTCACCTTTTAATGCTCGTCGTAATGTTGTTAATGATTTTGACATTGTCATTGTTAAATTATTAAAACGATCAAGTTCTTGTAATAAAACAACAGATGTTGGTGATATAGCTTCACCACCAAATTTTTTCCAAACTTTGGTTGTATTATATTCTGATGGTATACGTTTTAATATATCATCTGCTGTATTATCAATATATTCATCACGACTCATTCCACCAGTTGCTTCACCTATAAGTTTTTATGAAGAAAATATTTTTATTTGATTAATTGTTTTTATAAATTAAATTTATAGCATAAATATCGAAACTTATTAAGCAAAATAAAATGGACTTGGATCCTTTTTTTCTTCATATTGTTTTTATCGAGTTAATATCGTGGACTTAAAAATATGTGTGACTGAAAGAAAAAGTTTAATAGTTAATCTTAAATATCGTCTTCACAATTGAAGACTCTATTTCTTCTGTCATGTTGAGGCGTATAAAGTTTTAAAGAGGGTCTTCTATTGTAATTAAGTTATTTTTAAGGCTTTAGAACTTTGAATATAATTTAGCTTATAGTCTTTAAAGACTTTCAGCTTTAAATTCTGAAATCTATGTAGATATATTTTAATATAAATGGGATATGCCCATCTTTCATTTGACTTTGATTCTTTACAAGAGTTATTTGTCTGAATAAATTCTTTTAGCTTAAGTATATATGTAAAAATGTTGGCTTTTTCAACTGACTCTTTATTATAGCGAATATCATTTTAGTCATATGAACAAAAAAAAAAACGATTCGAAATCTTGAGCATAGACTCTACGGTACAAACAACATCTATGATAAAGTTTTCCAGAAAACCGATTTCAAAGAGATCTCATCAAGTCCTGAAACAAAACCTTTTGTCTACGTATCATCTAGAGAGCTCTGAAGAAGGATTTGTATCGTTTTCTTTTGTGTCACTTGTTAATACTGATTTTTACCAATAATTCCTGTGAACAAAAACCTCTAGCGTTGATTTTTTAAGAGTATCTCGATAAACATGCGCTTTAATATTCCGAAGTAACTTGTAAAGATATAAAAAATTTGTTTAATTTCAATGCTAATAAAATTTCTTTGTTAAATCTAACCTGATTGAGGTTGTAATTCAATTAATTGTTCCCACATATCTCTTGCCGATTTTGTATAATAACCAATTTCAGCATTCGGATTTAAACCAAATACTTCCGGTGTATTTGTTAATGGTAATGATTCGATGTATTCTATAAAAATGAAATACAAAAAAGAAAACGTATAGAAAATAAGTTTTCAAAACAAAAAAGACTAAAATAATATTTATAACAATATATAGGTGAAAACAATAAATAAAAAATAAAAAACATGCAAAGTGAATAGAATACAACGATATGTATTACTTTTGGATAGTTTATGCAATCTTCCTGTTTAATAATGTGAATAAAATGGTGTTTGAAGAAAAAAAAAAAAAAGAAAAAAGAGATTCGTGGATAGAAGTAAAATATCTCAATCATGCAAAGAATTTTTTTCTGTGTTTTGGTTGTATGTGTAATTTTTACTTACGTTTTGATGCTTCTAGAATAATTAAATATATAATGATATTAAAATCATAATCAAACAAGAGTTAATTATAAATCCTATCCTGCTTTTTTCTTTTATTATAATAGGTAACTCATAATGAATCGATTTAGAACAAAATGCGATTTAGAAGATATTGAAAGTAAAGAATTTTGTTCTCTTTTTAGTTGATTTATTTTCAAATAACTAAGCTATACTGGAAAGTTAAAAATATTCTTCATGATGATTTTTTAAACAAGGAAATTTTCTTTTTGAGTTAAAGTTCAGTTGTAAAGTTCTTATCTGGTACCAAAAAAAAAATGTCGAGTTTTCTTCTGTACATCACTATATGGCTGATGAAGCAGAGTCATGGCCCATCGGGTCTAGATTCGACTTCCAAAACGATCACAAGGTTCTTTGCAAAAAGTGAAATACACTATTGAATAATTGAATTTAATATTAGTCCGATTCATTACAGTCCACTCGGTATTAAAAAACGCTGTTAGCACAATCTCTGCGGGATTACAATATGAAACCCAATGAAGCTGTTGGTATTGTAAAAGAGGCAACTGATCAATATATGTTTCAATTTATGATTTTCTATCTACTGTGGGGAAAGGAGGCGAGTGTCCAAATTTCTATCTTCTATCCTTCAACACTCCTTTTTAATCGTGTTTCACCAAAAGAAAAAGATTATTAACATCTCCGTTTATTTACCTAGTGCCGTTTCTTTAATTGGTAATCCAGCTGCTGATGCTTGTTCTTGATTAGCTGTTGGAATATAATAAGCAACATCTTCTGTACGATGAAAATAGTATGGTTGAAATGTATCAAATATAAAATCTCCCATATATTCATCCATATATGTACGTAAAACACGTCGATCAAAATCATCAATAGCACGACCACCGTACATAACCTTTGAAGAAAGAGAAAAAGAAAATAAAAATGAAATAAATAAATAAATAAATAAATATAAACTTACTTCACCAATTAAATATTTTAATGAACCCCATGGAATTTTTGGATCATTATTAGCAACAGCTTTACTTAAATATGTATCAAGAATTTGCATACAAACACGAAAATCTGATTCATTAAAATCATATGAAACATTCCAACCAATTTTATCATATTTTCGACGTTCTTGTACAACAGCATGAAAAAATGCCAAAACAAATACCAACGATTGAAATGCATCACTTGGACAATCATTAAATGCTTGACCAGGTATTTTAAAGTATGTATTACGTAAATTAAGTTTTAAGCCATTAGGTGGTTCAGTAACAACTTTGAGTGAACGTTGTAATATACCAATTGGAAATTTTGGTGTTGGTTCAGTTGTTAACCATAAACGAAAATCTGGATGTGGTTTGGCTAATTTATCTAAATGTTTTTCTAATTCAACTAACCATTTAACTAATAAATGACAATTTTGTAACATTAACCAATAACCACGACTAACAGCTTGTTCCATTAGATTAATTGCAATCTAAATAAATTATTTATTTCGAATTCAAAAAATATTTCTAATTTTATGATTAATAAACTTTTTACTGTAAACAAGAAAAAAAAAGGAGAAATCAATATTCTGGGTCAATCTATCTACATTTATTGATATTTTAGGGAAAAAAAACGATTTTCTATTTCGATTTATTTATTTTCATTTGTTCTATTGTATAAATAGCAAAGATGAGATCGGTTCGTTTTGGTTCGCGAACAGAACTGAATCGAGCTGATCTATGATTAAGATCTTGTGATTTTGTTCGTGCCGAAAGTAAGTAATATTATGATTGGCAAACTTTAGTTGAAAAAAAATTGTCTTTTCGAAATTTCATCGAACTTATATTCGTAATTGATTTTTGTTTTCTTTGAAATTCAAAACAAAATAAACTCGAAATTCAGTTTTATTTAACACTTACACAAGGGAACTCTTCGAGATACAAAAAAAAACTGCTTTTGACGTGATATTTGGCTCATATAATAGTTTCAGGAAGAGTAATGTAATCCTAAAAGAGTTTAAGTTTCTGACATCATCTTCTCAAGTTAGGTCTAGTTTCGACCTTATGTATAACCACCTTGGGGAAAATCAAATAACGTAATTTCAAGCTGAAATTTATTTAGAATGTCAAATAATCTCAGATTTTCAATTTTTTTTGTTAATATAGAAGCGTTATTTTCACAGTTTAATATCCCATTAAGATCCTAACTCTTTTCGGATTATATTAGTCTCATTGAGGCATATATATATGAGCATAATAACACGTCCAAAGCGCTTCTTTACGTGATGAATCTCACTCGTATAAGGAAAAATAATTCTTTTAAAATTTCTACCTTTTCTTGTCCTTGACCCATAGCTAATAATTTAACTTTTCCAACACCAAATTCTGTACGTTCAGCTAATTTAAGTAAATCAGTTGTTGGATCACTACCAGGACTTAAAATAAATATAATTGGTGATAATGGTGTACTTTGTTCCCAAATAGCTTCAAAATGAATAACAGGTGGTGTAACAAATTGATCACCCATAATTTTCGTAACATATTGTGTTATAGCTAAATAAATACGATCAACTCGAAAACATCTTAATAACATTAAATTTTGAAATGCAGTACAACGTTGACCATATTCCATTGGAAAATGTTCTTCTTGTTCTGGTGCATCACTATCGAACCACTAGAAAAGAAAAAATAAATGTTTTTTTTTTTAATATTCTTTTTAAATCAAAATTTAACCTTTTTCCAAGCTTGTTCATTATGTTCAATATCATCGAGTAAAGTAGCAAATTGACTAAAATCTCTTGATAATCTTACACAATCTTCCCATGATTGATCGTATATCCATAAGTATGGTTTTTTACGTTTTGATTTTTCTAATGATAAATTTCCTTTAATAAAAAAATCTAGTTCATCTTGTGCTAAATTTTCACGATCTTGTTCAAGTTTTATTGTTATATCAAATGAAAATAATAATTTATGTTTTTCAAATATACCCGTACAACCATAATTATATACATTTAATGTTAATGTATTCATAATATTTTTTAAACGACGTTCAAGATTTGCATCAGGTATTGATTTACGTAAAGAAAATTCAAATACATCAAGATAACTTGTTAATGAATATTGGTACATTGTATTAATAAGAGACATTTCTGAGAGAACAAAAAATAGAATAGCACCACGCTTAGCAGCTGGACGATAACCATCACGAAGTTTTTCAATATCTTTTGATGTTTTTGATGCCAAACGTAGTCTAAAATAATTTAATTTAGAAATAAGTTTTTGGGTCAAGTCTGGATATGGATATACGTCCGGGAGTGGGTTCAGATCCTGACTCAGATGTAGGTCCGGGCCCAAAAACTTCGCAGATAACGAATTTTATGAGAAAGATTCAAGACTTTCGTTAGTGTTAAAAGTATCTGAATAATCTTCTCAAGAGTTTTATTGAGATTCTCTAAAGTAATAAATTCAAATATATTCAGATATGATTATCAATTTGTTATTAGAAATATTTTTTCTCGATTCGAGTAGATACTGAAAACATAATAGACAAAATGTTTTTTTTTTCTATTTATTAAAAAAAAACTTACTTTTCATTAACTTCATCAGCTTTGGATTTCGTTTCATCTAATGTTGATATTAATTCAACATTATCTAACATATTACCGGTTGAAGTAGATAATTCACGTAAAAGTGCATCTTCAAGATCTTTTAATAATTTTTTATTTATTGACATTTCTTGTATAAGACGTTCACGTTGTTCTTCTAATTCTCGTCGTTCATTTTTAACAATAACAGCAAGTAATTGATCTTCAAGACCTTTTAATGTAACTGTATAATTAATAACCATTGATTTTCCAAAATGTGCTGGTGTTAAACGTGGATTTGGTAATTTAGATGTTAAATAAAGACGAAATGATGGATCATAATCAACTTCTTTATCACCTAGAACAACAAATTGTCGTCCTTCAACACCTATAACAAACAATAATTTTATTTCAATAAAAACCAAAAACAAAAAGAAATTCTAACCTCGAACATTCTTTTCTAAAACATTATCAATAACAGGATCAATATATTCATCACAATCTTGAAATAATAGTGGAAAACCATATTTAATTGACATTTCCAAATGTTTTAAAAAGTCACTATCATGAAATGTTAAAATTTTTAAATTATTTTTTTCTTCACGTTTTTTTATCCATTTTAATGCTTGTTGTTGAGGATCAATACAATATGGAAAACGACTTGATTGTGTTGTTAATATACCATTTTGTACAGATAATTCATCAGGTGGTAAACCTTCACTTGACCATTTCGATATTTCAACATCACTTGTTAATAATTCATCTAAACGTATTGGTTGAGATAATGGAACTTCTTTTTCTAATAAATCTTTTTCCCATAATTCACGTAATAATTCATGACGAAATTCAAATGTAAATGCACCAACATATGCAAGAAATGATGAACATATTAATGTATCACCAAGTAAACGACGTAATTTATGTTTTAATTCTTCTAAGTCATTATTCCAACTAAAAGAAAATAATATTTATTTTTGTTCAGAAATTTTAGACAAAAAGAAAACCTTACCGTTGTTTTTCAGATGATAAACCAGAAATAAGTTTGTCAGCAGCTAGAAAATAAAAAAAAGGAAATATTTATGAAGTTTAGATGAAGATTATGTTGACTTTCTTTTAATAGGTAAGAAAAATTTTTCATCGAAAAAGAACTCATAATTAAATTCAAAAGACAGAAAATCTTATTTAATTTAATCATACCAATTTTTCGTCTTTCCATAATTGCTGTTTCTTCTTCAATAACTCGTTTTTTCTCCATAGCTTCTTCATAAGTTTTATTTAAATCTGCTAATGTTTTTTGTAAATCACTAATTTGTTGTTGAGTACTATTTAATTCATCTGTTGCTCGTTTTGCTTCTGCTTGTAATCTCTTTAAACAAAAAGAAAAACAATTGAGAATATCAAATAAATAATAAAAAAACTAAATAAAATTTACTATGACTAAATCAGATTTGGGTTTAACAACACGATAAACTCGAACACAATTTAAAACATTCAATGAATATTTAAGCATTCCAGCACCAGCTTGTGATTTCTTTTTCATTAATTCAATTAAATATTCATTTTTCTTATCAGGATCTGGTATAACATTATTAACTTCTTTTAAAAGATTCTCTTCAAGCATTTCAAGTACTGTACGTAATTTTCTTTCCGTTGATTGTGATAATTTTTCAATAGGAACTTCAAGTAATAGTTTTAAAAATCCAACATCTTTAACAAAATAAGAAAATACATATTATTAAAAAAGAAAAGAATTTTCTTCGAAAAAAAAAGAAAACCCAGATTTTACCAGCCATCATTGCTTGACATTCAGCCCATGTATCAGCACTTTGTGGTCGTAAAATAGCAAGAACTGAACGACAAACAGTAGCTACAGGAACAGCTGGTTGTTTAAAACCTCTAGATACACACACACAAAAAAAAACAAGATTTTTTTCAAAAAGAAGAAAATGAAAAAATTCTTTTACCGAATTTCTGCTACTTGATTATTTGTTATTTCTTTAACAGCTTTTCGAGCTTCTTCTAATGCTGGTAAAGCAGCAGCTAATTCAATATCAGCTTCTCCCTAATCAAATTAAATTCTTATTTATAAATAAATTAAAATGAAAAATTTCGATAAATACTTTTTTCACACTAATTTCAGCTTGTTTAACATCAAGTTGTTTTTTCTTTTCAATTGCTTCACCTTCCATTTCACGTGCTGATGCTGTTTTTTCAGCTATTACAGCAAGTAATTTTTGACATTCTTCAGAACGTTTTAATACTTCTTTTCGTTGTACTTGTAAACGTGCATCAAGTTCTTTTAATTCAACTTGTGCTTCATCTATTTTTTCTAAACCACCAGCAAGACGTTGTTGCTAAATAAATTTAAAAAATATAATTTAAAATCAATTTATATACTATTCATTTTGAAAAATGATGTGCTCCACTGTTTTTTGGATAACTTTTAATAGACACAATTTAGAGATTCGCGGTTTTCAGCGTTTGAGTGAGAAGACTCAGAAATCATTGAAATTTGATCGATAAACAATTGATCAATCAAGTAAGTTCTTGGTGAAAACTTTTGAAAATGGTTTTCTGTAGAAGTCTTCCTTTAGATTTAGACTTTTGCCGAGATTAGCCGATAGAAAAAATTCTTCTCTTTTGATCTACACAAGGTTGGCACCCTTAGATTGTTTTCCTTAAGAGTTATAAGATTTTTTCTAAGATCCTTGATTTCAGACAATTGATCTGTGGTCACTCGGAAAAGCAGTCACGCAGGGATAAGTCGCAATGCGTAACCGAATGATGATATTTTCTTTTAGGTTATCAATAGTCTGGTAGTGTTATCTCACTTATCTCGGAAATATTGAGATATCACAATGCCAGATCAATTCGAATGTTAAAAACAAATGTGACCATTCGATTCATTATGATGAAATATCCCTACATCGCTGCTTGTCCGAGTGATCACAGGTCGATTAGTTGAAATCAGCTGTCTTAGGAGAAATCTCCTCATTTTAGAATGAAACAAGTTAGGGATGTCAGCTTTGCGCAGATCGAAAAACAAGATTTTTTTCTATCGAGTAATTTTTATTAAAAGTCTAAGTCGAAAGGAAAACAGTTTCAGAACATCGTTTTCGAAAATGTGCTCCAAGTAGCCGCCTATGATGTTTCTATCAACAGTTATTTAAGAAACTGTGAAGCACATTATATTTTGAAATGGATAGTAGATATATAAAAACTAACTTGTGCTAAATTTTCTTTATTTTTTCGTTCTAATAATTTTAAATATGTTGAAATAAAATCGAGATAATTTTTTGGTGTTGTAAAATTATGACGACGAAGTTTCTTAGCAAATTGTTCACTATAATGTTCGACAGATTGATGAACCATAACCATATGTGTTACAATAGCTTGACGATGTTGTTTGGGAATAAATTCATTCTATTAATATGAGAAAATGAATAAGTATATTTTAATTAAAATTTATAATTGAGCATTTAAGATAAGAAGAGAATCTTAAAAGATCTATGCCAATGATTTTGAAAGAGAGCGAGAATTATAGTTTAGCATCTTACTCACAAAACGTTTTTTTATGGTATACTATATATATTAAAATATTAATAAAAAAAGAAAAAAAGTTTCTTTTATCAAAATAAAAACAAATAATTTTTTTTATTTTTCATCATTATTAATATACTTACATCTTCAGATAATAATGAAGTTGATACAGCATAAAGAGCTTGTTCAGGCCAAGGAAGAAACCAATCAATTATAGCATTATTAATCAAACCTATAATTATTACATAATCTCTTCAATAATTTTGTTTTTTAAAATTTTTTTTTTCTTACCTGGAAAGTTTCGACAACGTGTACGTAAGGTATCACCTGTTGGCGACATGCATAAAACCACATGTAAATTAATCGAACATTTTGTAACAAAATATTGCCAAATACTTTCCTTAGCTGGACTAGCACCATTTTTCATAGCTTCATCTCGAATCTATAATTGATCGTATAGTAAAAACAAAATTTTCAACAAAATAAACTTACATTTCCAATAATAGCTTCCCGTTCTTCATCAGCAAATAGTGCAGGTACCATACCAGTTGTTAACATATTATTAATTAATTCCAGAAATCCTATTTTTTAAAATATAATTAAATTCTATTTAGAAACAAAAATCAACAAGAGAAAATGAACCTTCTTCAGCAACATGTTGATCACCAAACATAAAAACAATTTTCTTATTTTCTATACCAAGTTTATTATAAAGAATTTTTAAATCTTCACGAAAATGTGTTTCACTATAACCACGACTAAGTTTTATTTCAAATATTTCACAACCAGCTGAAAATGTTGCTAAACGTGTTACTTTAAAAAAAAATCAAAATTAAATTATTTAAAAAACAAAAGAAAAATAATTCTTACATGAAGCTTTTCCACTACCACCAACACCAACTAATAATGCATTTCCTTTATCCATACGTATTACACGATGAATTCGTGTTAAATGTTCAAGTGCATCTTCAAATAGAACTAAATTCATACGAGTATATTGCTCATTATATTCTTGAAGAATCTAAAAAAGAAAAATTTTATAAGAAAATAAATAGAAATTTAAAAAAAAAAAAGAAATTGTACTTCGTCAAATAATGCTTTAGCTGCATCATAATCTTGAATATCTTCATAAATTTTAGCTTCACCAACATCAAGTGCCGTTCGATAATCACCAAAAAGTGATGGTTGACGAAATATAACTTCACTATGAGGTTTTAATGTTGGTTGATCATTGATTAAACTTACTAATTTTTCCTGGAAAGAATAAAATTATTTAATAAAAAAAAAAGGCATTCATTAATATTTATCAAAGCATAAAAATCGAACTCTATTTATATTCAGAAGTAATCAAATTCGATCTTTCACGAAAGAACTTATCCAACTGTCGAACACCATTCAACTGGATATTATGCTTACGAGTAAGTCTCAGTGAGACACTAAGCAAAGCTTAAAGAGATTAGGATCCATGGCTTACTTATGAAGAGCTATAGCCATCTTATTGATATTTTTACTGACGAGAGAACTATTCCAAGTGATACCCGCTGTTTAAACTTATACTGAACCCACATGCAGGTCTGAGTGATAGTATCGAAAACATAAAATAGTTCATCCTGAGCGACCTTCAGTGCTTAATTATGATCGATTTACTGAACTTTTGATCCATTTTAGGTACTCTCCGGAAGACCAAATAACGAAGTTTTGATCCAAAGTTTTGACTGTAAATTGGTCCAATGAATGTTAGAGTATCCTGAAGGTTTCAGCTGAAAAAAATGTTCCTTCGTTCAGTTATTGAATTTTCAAGTGAACTCGATTTTTGCGACAAAGACCTATGGGGACGAATCCTTTTAGGTTTTTCCTAGTCTCACTACCACCTGTCTATGAGTGAAATATGAACTCAAATAGCACGTGTTCTTTGGGATAGTTCCTTCGTGTGAGCAAAACATTTAAAAAAAAACCCAAAACAAAGAATGCAGACTCAGATCATTTTCTCTTGGTACCGATTTAATAGTCCGAAAGGTTTCAACGAAACGAATATATCTTTCTGGAGATATTAAATTTTCCAAAAAACTGTTGCTGTGCTCTCGTATGATAGATCGAGTCATTCAAATCACAGAAAAACCACCAGTATACCGCGACAATAGTCTCTTTTAAGTTTTTCTTAGTGTTGCTTAAACCTACTTGTACCCATAGTATGAAGTGAATTAATTATCCAAAAAGCTATTACAATTTTAAAGATTGTGATAAATCCGAAATTCTATAATATGTTGAAATTAACTTCTCATTGACTCATCAGAAATCGAAAGACTACTCATTTGAGTACTCCTATTCCAATCTATCAAATCTTTTTCTTATCTCAGGTTCAAAAAAACTTGTCTTCCGACCAACATACATCAATAAATTTTCGATCTGTTATATCAATTAAACGATCATAAAGTACGCGTAAACATTCGTTACGCCAAACTCGTGTCATTTGAGCAGCTGTTTGAAAACGTTCAGGTGTTGTTGAAACTAAGCCATTAAATATTCGACTTAAATCTCGAAGATTAAATATATAATGAAATTTTGATGGTGTTGGTGGAAGTGCATCAAGAATTGAACTTAAAAATGAATAAAGTAAATAAAATAATAAAATAAAAATTCAACTTACTGATAAAGTTCCATTGTTAATCGAGTTAATATTGGTGCAACATCTTGTACCTCTTTACTAAATGTTTGTAAATGTCCTTCAAGAATTGAATTATAAATAAGAAATAGTGATTCTTCAGATGGAAATGTTATATTGAATACATTAAATAATGAAATAAATCTTGGATCAACATCATTTCTTCCACCACCAGGCTACGAAAAATAAAATTTTCAAATTAACAAAAATTAAAGTAGAAAAAAAAAAACAACAACAAACTTTGCCCATAGCAGCAACAAATATCATATCTTGATATTTCTTCCAATTTAAATCTTTTCCTCGATCATACATTCCACCTTTTTCAAGTAATAGTTTCAAAAGTGCTATTGGTTGTTGTGTACCATATGTATCAACTTTTGGCATATTTAAATCATCAATAAATACAACTAATTTTTTTCCTGGTGGTGGTCCAAATGTATCTTTAGTTCGTTTTTCAACATTTGATTCTAAATTTCTTTGAACATCTATTGATGATGTACGTGATGAAAAGTTTATATTTAGTAAAAGCTAAAAAGAAAAAACACAGAAGCTGTTAGTACAATCTCTGCAAGACTAAAATATGAAACACGACGTAGCTGCTCTTGCTAGCCACAGAAAAATTCGTTTTATTCTATCGATCTTGGGATACATTTCTTCCCATCCTTTTAATTAATCCTTCGAAGATACAAAAAGAAAGTGGTTCATATATCGTGAAGAGGCGTTAATCTGTGATCGTATATCAACAACATTTGTCATGGTTGGTGACGTTCCCATAATTACATGCGTCACAGTAAGAGATATGTGGGACTAAGTGTGTTAGGTGTCGGTTACCATCCGTTTCTAATCATAGTCCTGATCTCTGTTCGGTCTCAATTCGGATCCACTCACGGTCATAATTCCGGCCCCGATCATAGCCTCCATCTGAGTCCGATCATGGCCTATGGTGATTCAAATTCTTACTCCTGTACTTCAACATTCTTTTTAGATCTTGTTTCAAAAAACCCAAAAGTTAAAATATGCAATTAAAAACATACATTTTGGTCTGAATTTAATTTTCTTAAAAATGAATAAATCGTTGCTGTTTTTGATGTACCCGATTCACCAACAAATAAAACTGGTCTTTTTATACGATAACATAATTGAAGTAACCAATCACTTCGACATGTATCAATTGTTGGAACTAATATTTCATAAAATTTTCTTTCAGGATTATGTACATATTGTGGTACAAGTCTTTTCCATGATATCCAACATTCTTTTGAAGCATCGAAATAATATTCAAATAATGTTGCTTCATGTGTTGGTAGTTCATCTAGAATTATCAACTTGAAGAAAAAAATTTTTTTTTCAAATATTTTTATCTTACCAAATTTTGCAGTTCCATCAGATCCTTCATCAACTGAACTCATTGAAGCAAGAGATTTAACTTGTGCATCAAATGCAACACGTGCTTGTTCTGTTAAACCAGCACCAAGTGACCAATAAAGTGCTTGAAGAAAATAACATGTATAAATAGTATCGTCAAGTGCATCACTTATATTTTCATATGGTTGAAGAAGACTTTCAAGCATATAACATAATTGACTTGTCTATTAAAATTATAAGAAAGAGAATTAATGAAAGAAAAAACAAAAAGTTTTATTTTTTCTGTAGTAAAATTTACCATATTTAAATTTGTTAATGGAATAATTTGTTTTTTTTCACCTTGTTTACCATCGATAGTATCTTCTAAGATTGATGTAATTAATGATGGAACAAATTTATCGAATAAATGACTAAGACATTTTTGTTCTTCTTTTTTATCACGTAAGTTACACCAACGTGTCCAGAATGGACGATATTTCAAATCTTTCGGATCAACAAAAACCTAATGAACAAAAAACAAAACAAAAAAGCTAAATAAAAGAAAAAATTAAACATTTTATTTTACCATTCCACAACGTGAAACAGTAGCTGGACTAGCATATTGGAGATCACCAACTTCAAATAACATAGCACAATGTGATTGTAAACGAACACGTTCACCATTAGCTAATGTTAAAAGTTTATTATCATCCATAACGGAATTCTAAAGAAAAAGAAAAACCGAAATCATATATTTGGAAAAATAATAAATTTCGAAATGAAAACAAACCATATTTTCAATCCAAAGTGCATCAACATCACCATCATATAGAATATATCGACGTTCTTTTTTATCGGTTGGTTTATTAATTTCACGAAATATATTTGATAATAAACCATCAGTCCAATCACGAGTTGCTGTATCCAGAAAACCGTATAATTCAATAACTGAACATGCTTTCGGATTTAATGTATAAACTTTTGTTGGTAAACCCATTCTTAAAATAAAACAAAAGCCAAGTTTTATATTGAACTAATATGGATACAATTTTCTCATTTATTCAAACACTTTCGTATTTATAAGCAATAGGTGGCATTAAAAAAAACTCAATTATCACAATATGTGTGAAGTATAGGATTTTGAGGAATCATTTTTTGTATGTCTATAAGTTTGAACTCACGAAAAATTTTTTTTTTTTGAATATTTTCAATTCTATACTTTTCGTGGTTTCTTTGTAAAAAACAAAGCAATCATGTTCTATACCTAGTTTGTGCTTGAACTAAAGTACTAATAACTGTTGATTTTCCACCTCCAGTTGGTCCAACAACCATAGTTGAATGTCGTGTCATCATTGTTTCATATAATTGTACAACTTTATCAACTTGTACTTCATCAACAACATTATTCATATGAGCAATTGATTCTCGTACAGCTTTATCAAATGTTGGATATGTAACACGATCACATTTCAAACCCGGAAATAGATCAGTAATTAATCCTTGAAATAATGGTACATCTTCATAAACAAATTTCGGCATATTCATATCACGTAAAGCACGCATTAATACAATATCCTTTAGAAAAGAAAAACAAAAACACAAAAGAGAATATTTATAAATATTTTAAATCTATTAATTACTTCTGGTAATTCTGACGAATTTCGTTTTAATTCTCCAGCCATAACTAAAACTGATTTTAAAGCTCGAAGTCCAAAATCATAATGATATTGTTTAGATAATTGTTCACGAGATAATTTATATAAAACAACCATTTTCTTAGCTAACATCTACACATAAGAAAATATATTGACTAAAACTACACAAAAAAAAAATTTGTTTACAAACTTTTGCTAAAGAAAATCCTTCAGAGAAAAGCATAATTTCACAAATTTGTTGTAAATCAGGTACAATAACAACAACAGGACGAAATAAAGCTTTAATTGATTCTGGTAATTCAGTTCGTCCAGCATAACCAGGATTCATTGTAATAAATGTTCCAACACGTGAATCAAGACCAATTTCAGTACCTTCAAATACGAAGCGTTTTACTTTACCAATAAGACCTTGTTGAATTGTTTTTAATTGTGATGATATAACTGATAATACAGATGCATCAATTCGATTAAATTCATCAAAACATCCCCATGCACCACTTTGACATAAACCATTTAAATTTTTACCAATAGCCTTTTAATAAAATATGTTTTTATTTTAGATCTTTTTATTTTATAATGAAAACTTACTAAACTATCCATGCCTTCACCACAATTTGTTACCACACAAAGAAGACCAAGGGCTTTTGCTAAATCTTTAACTGATTCTGTTTTACCCGTACCTATATTTATATTTTAAATAATAAAAAATAAATAAATGACTTTATAGAATAAATTATTCATACCGGCAGGACCAGCTAGAAATAAAATAAAATATTTCAATATTTATTATTAAAAACTAATTTAAGTCGTCTTCCCCTACAAATCAATCTTAAACCAAATATATTATAATCGTATGAAATTTTCGCCACTGTATCATGATGTTCGACGGAAATATTTACCAAACAAAAAGATCGAAACAACTCGTTTGGCAGTCCAAAATTCTCTATGAATTCTCATTTAACCTTTTTATTTGAAAGAGTATGTTAGACTGCAGCAGTATCTTATTTTGAAATTCTTACTTTTTATGCAAAGAAAAAGGATGACACAAGTTCAATACCTAGAAAAATAATCATCTATTTATAGAAGTGCTTTTTTTTTATATAATAATAAGAAAGCTTAAATAAAATAATCGCCACTGCAACTTCACATACTCTTTCAAACAAAAAAAAAGAAGCAATTGGCTATGATGATGCTTCATCGAGAATTCTCCAACAACATATTTTTCAAGCAGAAAGCATCGGAAACCATCACAAAATAGAAAATTACACATCGGGCTTTCTCAATTTCGATTTTTCTGACAAAGATCGACTTTTTTTTTTTTTTTTACTAACCTGGTGCACAACCAAGATACATTGACAAAGCCTAAAATAATTTTAATGTATTTATAAAGTTTAAAAATATCAAAAAACAATATATACTTGTGTAATTGTTAAATAAATTCGATCTGTAAGTGGAGTTATAACTAAACGACCATTTAAACCCATATATTCATAACCATAACCAAATTCACCAGTACATTGCCGAATCATTAATTCATCTGGTTCATTAGTCCAATAGAATCTCAATTGACTTTCCCATTCAAATTCACGTGCATCCAATATACTAAAAATATATTAAAATAAAATAAATGAATTTTTTTGTTTCGTTTATTTTTCTTTTAAATTTATTTTCAATTACCTATCCCTTACAAACTTATCAATAATATCCTTTGCATGTACATCAATAATAAGTACAGTATTAAATTTTTTTCGATCATTGCTAGCTAATGGATTTCGAATCTAAACAAAGAAAATAAAAACAAAAAGCTATTAGCACAATCCCTGTGAAATTAAAATATGAAACACAATGCAGCTACTCTACGGATTTTCAATCGGATATCAACATCGTCTGCTACTGTCTGTACGGAGTTCAAGTTTTCACCTCTGCACTTCGACATTCTTTTTTAGATCATGTTTCATAAAAAACAAAAAAAAAAGTTAAGTTTGTTTTTCTTTTTACTTCAGTAACAACTTCTTCAATTTGAGCATTGAGTTGTTTAGCATAGTTTTTCATACCCATTTTTTGACCTTTGGCAACTAAATATACCAAGAAAATAAAAAGAATTATTCATAGACATAAATAAAATTCTAAATAAACCTTTATTAAAAGTATCTTCAACTTCCCAACTCCACCTAAACAAAAAAACAACAAAATAAGAAATTAATTAATTAATGAAATGAACATGTATTTTTTCTCATAACTAACCATATTTGATTAGCAGCTAAAACAACCATTCCTTGATAATTATACATCCAACCAATACGTGTTTTTCGAAAACGATAATAATAAACAGCTTCTTTTGTAATTGTTTTATTAGTTCGTCTCATTTCTTCAAGAACTTTCGTCATCCAATCTTCAACTCGTCCTTCAGTAATAACACTTTGTTTAAATTGCATTTCTTCTTTTTCAGCTGATATCATTGCTTGTGCTTGAGTTATTGTATCACTAACTTTAATTAAACGTAAACTAGCTACATTATCAAACATTTTAATCATATGTTCTTGTATAGCTGATGGTTCAGCTGAACCAAGTATTGATAAAAGTTCATCATCAGATATAAAGAAAAATCTTGGAAATGCATTACGTTTTGAATCAAGATAATCATTTAAACTTTTTTGACAACGTTCAAGACCAACAAATATTGATTCAAGATCTGCTAAACGACTTGGTATATGACATTGTTTTTTTATTAATGGATCACGATATGTATCAGTCATAATTGTTTTAAATAATTTATTTTTTTCATCAAATTTTTTTGCTTCTTCAGGTAATTGAGAACGGATATCACCACTTACGAAAATACCTAAAATATAATGTTTCTTGTTGTCATAAGATCAAAAGATGAATGAGGAATTTTTCAAAAAAACTTACCTTCAAGATACATCCATTTACGTTGTACATTGATCCATAATTCAATGACCTAAAGAAGATAACATAAGAATTGATGAAAAATTGCATGATCAACTAACGAGAGACGCATTCATCCTTCTATTTGAGCTTATATTAGGTTTACAAGGATGCCTTGATGAGGCAATAGCAAATTTCTCAATGAATTTTTGCTGAAATATTGAATCTTCAAGTAAATTCAATTTTTATATTATGTCTGCAAGCAAGAGTATATTTTTAGAAATTCGGTATCTTCACAAAAGTAGTTCGTTTTCGACTGAAATGTTTTAGATATTCCTATGAACGATTCGGCCTATATATGAAGAAAATTTTACATCGAAATTCTGCTTGATGACGAACCTTTCTAGTCCTTCTTGCGACAATTTTTTAAATTAAACTTAAAATTTATTCACATTCTTGTTTTCTCTTGCAAAGTTTGTTTTTATTTTACAAATGTTCACTTTTTTTTGATAATGTCCAAAAAAGAAAATCTATTTAAACTCGGACATGTCTGCCCAAGATAGAATTGATTCGTGTTTGCTTGAACTCAAACCTATCTTGTCTTTAATATCTGCAATTGAGGTATTTAAAAATACGCACCAAAACCAGAAAATTGGGGTGGAACTATACTTAATCAAAGGGCCTAGTGCGTAGGTAAAGAGCCTAAGCTGTTGTACCTTTGCTCCTTAGATTTCGACAGTTCAAGTGGATTTTTCCTGTAGACCTCTAGTTTTCAAGCGAAATCATACGTTTGAATTTTGATCTGAAACTTTGCCCGCATAAAGGCCCCGTTTAGACTTGTTTTTAGAAAGAATTTCAGAATTTTTTGACCAATTATCTCCATGATATAAATCTTTGAAAATATGTATCTATTTTACAACGATCTAATCAATGCCTGTATGTAAACAAAGTTTCAGGTCAAAATTCAAAAATATAATTTTGCTTGAAAACAAGAACTCTACAAAAAAACTTCACTAAAAATTTGATATCTCAGCAACAAATACCCAATAGCTCAAATCATTATAGGGTACTTATTTCCTCACTAGACCCTAACTGAGTTTGAAATTTTCCATGAAAATTTTTAAAAAATCAAAATTTACTTCAGCAATTAATGATAAACTTTTTTCCCATTGTTGTACAGTTGATAAAAATGGTCCAATAAATCTCGAACCAGCCATGCTTTGTAATGCCATTGTATGATCATCTAATGCTTGTAAAACTTCATCACAAGCTCCTAGTACAAAACCACGATCTTGATTTCCTTTAACATATTTAATAACACTAAATTTCATTTTATCCCATGCATCAACAACTTCTCGTACACCCTATATTTAAAAAAAAAGAAAAAGAGAAAACACTTTTGTAAATAAAAAAAAAAAAACAAGTTTGCATTTTTACTTTTTCAATTTGAAGTTCTTTCGTAGCTGATGTAACAATATTTTGTATAGTATCATTAAAACGTTGTAAATTCATTTGAAATAAATTTTCTAATGTAAATGATTCTGGATTCATATCAAATTCAATATTTGTTTCTTTCATAAGCATACGCCAATGACGTTCACGTAATGCTTCATTTTTCAAGTCTAACATTAAGGGTAATGATTCACGAAATTCTTTCATATTTAATTCAATTAATTTTGCTAATGACATTCCTTTTATTTCGCGTGGCATTTTTTTTAATTCTTTTATAAAATTTTCAATACCATCAATTAATAATTGTACATCTAAATCACGCCATAATGCTTCAGACCATTGGACACGTGCTTTTAATTGTTGTTCATATAATAGATAAAGTTTTTCTAAATTTTTCATTTCTTTTTGTATAATATATAATTCAGGATATGATGATATAGGTAAATTAAATAATTTTTCAGCATTTGTTAATTCTTGTTTATCAACTTCAAGTCTAGTTAATTCATCACGATAGGTTCTCATTAATTTTAAACCTTGTGGTAATTCATCAGCATTTTTTATTGAACCTGGACCATATCGAGCAAATTTATCAGCAAATGCAGCAATAGATTTTCTTAAACGATCAAGTTGAATAAGAGTTATTTCAGTAAAACGACTTTTAACACGTTTTAAGTTAACATCACGATGTTTAGAATTAAGAGATATTTCACTCCAACGACGATTAAGTGAACTAAGAATTAAAGTTTCTTCTTCAGTTGTCTAGAAAAATTAAATATTCAAATTATTTTTATTAAATAATATTTCGAATGACGTTATTTTGTATTTTATTCTATGTTAGATCTTTAGGCGAATTTGTTTACAATATCAGTATGAGATTTCAACTCGTGTACAATTATGAAAAAAGCTATGCGCTTTTATCAATACTCAGAACCGTTAAATATATCAGATAAAGATAAAAATTCTTATTAACATAAAAAATTTACGCATAAATATATAATATTGTTTTATTTAAGTACTGAACTATGTGGCGTCTTTAATGTCAAGAATTCAATAGTGAAAATTTCTTAAAATATGTTAAAGAATTTAGTATCTATCTGATGACTTAACAATTTCGGTTTCGGATAATTTTTGGAACCACCGAACTCTAGCCTATGCACGACAAGAATGGAAAGTATAGACGGCAACATAGATGAAGATTGGAAATCTAAGACTTGTTCCTTTTCACAATTTCTCACTACTCCATTTAAATTAATGCAATTCATTTCTTAAGTTTTACCGAGACTAGAGCATGGCGCGTCCAACATTTTTGCACTCAATTAGTTAAAATTTTTCCGGTCCGAAACTGGGACAGAGACCAAAAATGTCTGATCCCGCTCATGTCTAACCGAATCGAACTGAATTTTACTGGTTTTGATTTATTTCGGTTTAATTCCAGTGTCTAAATCGTGTTCATAATTTTAACGAAATTTTTTAATCAGAGTTTGATAGTTATCCTGAGGTTTGCTACTAGCATGCTCTACATATTTTTCAGACAATCTTGATGATAATTTTATAATAATTGAGTGATAATTTGCTGTTACTTCTAGACTATGGTCCATTGAATCAATCGCAAATTAGAAAATGGACCCGAGACTAATTCCACGAGCTCTAGTCGATATCATGGAAAGGATGGAAGTTCCCGCATTTACTATATATGTAATGGACTTTTAAGGCATTTCAACTTTTTGAAACTTTTGTTCGAGTCAGTCGATCATTTTCTCAAACTGGATGAGACATATCTACAATCTATCATACTGATCCTCTGACGAGTTTTACGTAGCCAATATCTTGTCTCTAATATATACTGAAGAAATTTTCTTTTTAGGTTTTAAGCATTTTCTTGTTAAATCCTGAGAAAGATATAATTAAACATCTGNTGCACTCAATTAGTTAAAATTTTTCCGGTCCGAAACTGGGACAGAGACCAAAAATGTCTGATCCCGCTCATGTCTAACCGAATCGAACTGAATTTTACTGGTTTTGATTTGTTTCGGTTTAATTCCAGTGTCTAAATCGTGTTCATAATTTTAACGAAATTTTTTAATCAGAGTTTGATAGTTATCCTGAGGTTTGCTACTAGCATGCTCTACATATTTTGCAGACAATCTTGATGATGATTTTATAATAATTAAGCGATAATTTGCTGTTACTTCTAGGCTATGGTCCATTGGATCGATCGCAAATTAGAAAATGGACCCGAGACTAATCCCACAAGCTCTAGTCGATATCATGGAAAGGATGGAAGTTTCCGCATTTGCTGTATATGTAATGGACTTTTAAGGCATTTCAACTTTTTGAAACTTTTGCTCGAGTCAGTCAATCATTTTCTCAAACTGGATGAGACATATCTACAATCTATCATACTGATCCTCTGACGAGTTTTACGTAGCCAATATCTTGTCTCTAATATATACTGAAGAAATTTTCTTTTTAGATTTTAAGCATTTTCTTGTTAAATCCTGAGAAAGATATAATTAAACATCTGACTAGTAAGCATAAACACAAGTGCTGCTAACCTTTTGATTATAACTTTCTAATAGATTATATTTATCTTTGACGTCATTAATTTTAGTTTCAATAACATCAGATTGATTTTGAATTTCAGCAATAGTTCGTAATACAAATTTTAAATCTTCAAGTGTATCAGTTGTTCGTTTAATATTATTTTCATATTCCTAAATAAATAAGTTATTTTTAGAAATATTTAAAAACAAAATAAATGAACTTACATCAAGTTTATCACGTAATTCAAATAATCGTGCTTTAGCATCATCAGCAAGAAATTTACTAAACATATGTATAGTTTCTTTTGCATGTCCAATTAAATCATTTAAAAATGATGTAAGATTTAATTGTACAAATTCAAACTCTTTTGAACGAACCATTGCATTCAACTATTATAATTAAATATAAATTTTTTTAAATTTATTTTCAATGAATTACTTACTTCATCAAGATTTTTTTGATATTTATTTACTTCTTCATCAAACACACCTAATGATGGATTTTTAGCAAAGAATTTTTCACAGACTGCCAACTAAAAAATATCAATTAAATCGTTAATTATTATACAATTCTATTTTGTTACTTTATCTGTACGCCATAAATGTTTAAAGTTACGAAATTTAAGTAAAAATTTCTTCAGATTATTAATTGTATTTACTACAACACCTTGTGTTGCTGTAGCCATTTCATGTATTTCGGGAATATATCGAATATCATCATAAAATGAAAATATATGTTGAGCTTCTTGACTTGATGATGATGTTGTTATTGTTGTTTTTGCACCAACAGGTACTATTCCTGATGATGTATCGAAATCTAAACCTCCATGACCATTTACCGCATGGGTTGCAACTGTTGATTTATCATATTTAACTGGACCTACTTCAATACATGAACCATCTTTCCATCGATAGAAATAACTTGCACTAAATTGAGAAAAAAACGATCAAAATTATTATAATTAGTAAGAGAACAGTTTTGTCTTCGTAGCTAAAAATATCAATACTTTTACAAGTCAATATATTGTAAATATTTTTTTCGAAATTCTCAATCGATTAAATATAACAATAGGATGTTGTTAAGATTCTTTGGAAAATTTTTCAAATTCATCCACTAGATCTCTTCCGATAAACTCGATCCCATGGAGATGTGCACCATCCGTGCTATGTGTGTAGAGCTGTGAGCCAATGCATCGATCGATAATGATTGGCGGTTTTCGATGAATCTTTTAGAAACTTTTCTTAATTTCGAGGAGTTCGCAAATGAACAACAATGGTAGAGAAATTATCGATAAGCAACCCGATAATAACATCTCTAAAAACTGATTTGGGATGCCGAAAATGTTTAAAAATCAAATATCTATTTTTGTGCCACTGTGGTGGCACAGCAAATTAATTTACACGTCTAACTGTGTGTTTCTGTGGTTTACGCTCTAACGATAACTATAACTCAGCTCTTGACGATCACACTATAAAAAAAATTTTTGTACAACAGCCGTTCCATACTCGGCTCTCGTTTGATATATCCACTGGTCAACTGAGCCTTTTTTCATGCCAGCTGTTAAACTCTATTGTTGCGATCTTTTCCAAAAGTGCTAAAAGTTAAGGGTTAATATTGAAACAAGCACTCTGTAAGTATATCCAAGTACACCTGATTAAGTCTTTCTTAACTAATTTTTTTTATGGTATTTTTAACTTTATTTTGTTGTTCATACGCGAATGTGCGAAAATGAAACACTATTTTTTCAAAAAATATAATAATGTGACAAATATAAAGAAAAACTTGGTGAAAAATATCATTAGACATGATCATACTGCCTCCGTTTTGTTTTTTCTTACACGTAGTGCACGTCTCTAACACTTGATCTCAAAATTTTGAACATGTAATCGAATAGGAAGATCGAATCATAAAAATTTCATTTTATCCAAATATATGGAAAAATATTCGAAGTTGTTTCATTTCGAAAAAAATTCATGTTCTTTTTCATAATACCATACGATACTGAATAAACAGCAAACTTCAGCACAAAAAACAATAACACAAATGTTCAATACAAAAATTGAAAGATTATAGACACAAGAGTATTTTCAATTAAACAATCTGTATGTGATATCTAAATCGATATTACTTTTCAAAGGTGTTTATACTGCATGTTCTATAACATCACAGTTTTGTTTTTTTAAAAGATTTTATTCATCAATTGAAATTGATTGTTATTGAATTAACTATTAAGAGAAAAAAAACAAGTTTCTTTTTCGAATTGTATCTTTCAATAAAATTTTCTAGCTAAAAGAGTGAACTCAAACATAACCTATCTTAGCCTTAACAATATACTTAAATTTCATTAATATTATATGTATCCTATAAATAATAACAATGTCGATTCATATGACAATAGAATTTAAGAAGAGTCAGGAAAAAAAAAACGCTAAGTTAATAAAATAAAAATGCTTAAAACGAATGCAGTTTTCTTTACATCATAAATAGTATCAGACTAATGCATGTATCAATGGTAGAAACGTATCACCGAAAAACTAAAGTAAAACTGGCAGTATGAAAGCAAAAAACAATGCGTTGTTCTTCATCTTTTGTTTTGTTTTTTTACATTATCATTTTAATGGTAATAATTTCGCACATGATTCTTCATAGGCAACAGCGTCACGCATTTGTAATGCTTTAGTACGTAATTTTGCCAAATGTTGTTGGTGTTTATCAATAAGATGAATTAACTGTTTAGCATAATCTTCTCGATCATAATTCATTTTTGTTGATGAATCAAGTAATAGTTGATGATTAGCAACTATTTGTGGTAAATCATCCAGAAGTTGATGATGAGATTCTAATGTTAAATCTTCAATATCATGTGAACGTGCAATCGCTTGTTCAAATTTACGTTTTAAATGTTGATTTTCTAATGGACGTTTATTACTATTATTTTGTTGTTGAGGTTTTCGTGCATTTGAACGTGATGATGGTAATGGTTGAGATATTGTTTCATTAAAATGATCATCATCATCATCATCATCATCCTCATCATGAGTTAATTGAAGATCATATGGTTCATTTTGATTTTGTTTTTGATGAATTTCAACACCACGTTGTATAAGTTCATCAACATTTAATTCTTTAACACGATCAGCATAACGTAATGTATTTAATGTATGTTCAACATCACTACTTCCTGGTGATACCATTGCTATCATACAAACTTTAGATTTTTCTCCAATAAATGAATCACGTAAAACTTTTGTTAATGTTGAACCTCGAAATGGTATATGTTCAGCATTACGACCTAATGAACGTATACATTCTTTTAATGTTAATAAGGATTTATTGATTTGTGCACCTTCCATTAATGTAACTTTATCATTTGTTTGTGTATCACGTCCACGTTCGCTTCCAGCTAAATCAATTAAGGAAATTTTTCCATATTCTTTATTTATATTCTTTTTTTTTAGTGAAATTTGAAAAATAGCATGTGATCGTGATGAATGTTCATTAGCTGATGTCGTGCCGGACGTACGCACACTCATTCCACGTCGTATTAATGACATAACTTCATTAACTGTTTGAACTTGTTCTTCTTTTCTACCAACAACTTGAACTAAGTTTTTATGATCTTCTAATACACGTAAACGTTTTTTATCATTAAATAGATCAAAAACTTTGGTACAATATATTTCAAAAAATGTACAATAAACATCATATTGACCTTTATTCAAAGGTTTATTTAAATGAAGAAATATATCATTCGCTGTTAATGCATATATTCCTTTAGAAAAATCAACATCACGTTGACTTAAATCACCACCCATTGTATATGTTTTACCTGAAAGAAAAATATTTAGATTGATTTTGTTATTATTAATTTAAAACTTACCAGAGCCGGTTTGTCCATAAGCAAAAACCATTGGATTATTTCCTTGAAATAATAATTGTACTAAAGGTTTGGCAGTAAAATGATAAACAAGTTCATTATTACATGATTCACGAAATGTATAATCAAAACGAAATCTTTGATTATCGATATATTTTGTTAAATCAACTTTAACTTTTGGTAAATGTACAATAACATGATCTTTATTTGGTATTGTTAATACATCAATATCTTTTTTATTTAATTCTTTTTTCGTTATTGGTCTTTTACGTATACAAACACATATTTTTAAATCTTTTTGTGAATCATTTATTGTTAAAGGTTTTATATCAAGTTGTTGTCTATATTCAGCAATCATTGCTTGAAATTCCCATGCTGGTATTGAATGATCAACTTCAGATAATTTTTGACGACGTTCTTCTTGTCTAGCTCGTCGTTTTTCACGATTTGCTGCTATACGTTCAATTTCTTTAACTACTTTTGATTTATTTACATCATTTGTTGATGTATATGGATTTTGTTGTCTATTTGGTGATAAATCATTATTATAGTGTAATGTTTGTGCATTTGAAATTCCTCCAGGTCGTGCATTTGAAGTTGTTTGTGGTTGTTTTCGAAGATTTTCATAATCTTGTCGAGTACGACGATTTGGATGTGTTGTCATATTATCATGTACATGATAATCATTATGTGACGAAGGATTTGTAATTGATGTAAATAAATTTGGATTTAAATGAAAAATAGCATCTAGATCAACTTCTTTTCCTTTATCTTCATTTTTTTCTTCCCATTCAACAGAAATAGTTTTGGTTGGATGATTAACTTTTATAATAGTAGCTTGATGAATACGACCATTTGATCTTTGTATATCAACTTTTTGACCAGCATAAAGACAAGAAAGTAATTTTTGTTGGTTAAAATTCATTTGAGTGGTTGTTTTCTATTATTGTTTTATTTTAAATACATTAAATTGAGTCTTTAATTGATTGGAACCAAATAAAAAAAAAAACTAATTGTTGTTTATTACTGTCGTTAGACAGAACAAACTTTTATTTTTCTTCACTATGACTTCAACTTCAACATTTTTTCTTTGTTTTTATAGTTCTTTTTTTTTTTCTTTTTTATTTTCTATCGTTAAACGCAAACACAACGGAGCAACTCTTAAATATATATATATATGGATGAGATGAGAACGTTTGTTCATATTTTATCGACGAGGAGGCGTTGCTTAGTGATTGTATGTAATGTCAAAAACATGTAGAGACGCGACAACGAGAAAAAGTAAGAAAACGAAAGAAAGAGTCAACGAGAACAACCATCAACATATTCATCATGCAAAAAAATAACTAACATGAGTAGGTGTGTTTAAAAAAAAACTGTATATTACATGCCTTGAAATGCGATTATCATCGATCTTACAAATAATTTTCTATGCTGTTCTATAAAAAAAAATATATTTCAAACTTACACTTCAACACAATCTCGCATTGATTGACTAAATAATTTAATAATTTCATTTTGATTTGGTTGCATAGCTACAGTTGGTACAACAAGTAAAGTATCAACTTGAAATAATGGTTTAGAACCATTCTGTAATGCATCACGTAATGATTTTAAATTTTCCATAACAAGCTAATAGATAAACAAGAAAAAAAACACATTGTTAATTAATAGAAAAACAAAGTTTTATTTTTTTTGATCATTTACGTCGGATAAAGCTGAAAATATTTGTCTTTCCCAATAAGCATAATAAGCTTTCATTTTAGGTGATTGAGATGTATTTGTATTAAAAACAAGTCCTTCTACTTTTGCAATTAATGGACCGATGAGTTTATATTTTTTCTGTAACTCAATTGCATCTTGTCGTCGACGACTTTCAACAAATTCAAAATATTCCTAAAGAATAATATAAAAATTTATGTAAATAAAAAAAAGAATAATAATAATAATAATAATAATATATGTTTTGATTACTTTGCAATATACAAGTGAACCATCAGGATTCGGTGGTGGTTCACGAAAGAGATTGCATTGACGAATTTCATCAAGAAATACATGAATATCTTGTGAATTCTTTTTTATTTGATTTATTGTTGAATCAAGTTTGGAAATAAGCTAATAGAAAAATAAAATGTTTCTTTTTTTTTCAAAATATTCTTTTCTTTCTTAAAATTTACTTCTGATATGACTGTAATAAATTTATCATGATTTGTTGATGTCCATGGTAAACGTTGAGTTCCTGTTTGCATATGACGTTTTAATTGTCGTAAGTTTTCTTCCAATAATGATTGTTCATGAGGTTCAAGTGAATCCACAAGACGATGATAGTTTTTGAGGACGATTTTTAATTGTGTGGATAACAGTTTCATTTTTTCTTCCTACGCAATTGAGAAGAGCTTACAAAGTTTTATCAGATATGTCAATCAAAAAAAGAAATTGTAATATGATTATGGTAATACTACTCCTACATGTGCAGTAAAAAAAACCATGGCCTTCTATTACGTACTAGTTTTTCCCAAAATTTTACCCCGAAACTGAACGATTGTTTTTTGAACAAATTTCAATTGAAATATAATAGAGATCTGAGGTTTTCAGTGTTCAAAAGAGAAGATCTGGAGCCGTTGAAACATGTATTGAAATTAAATTGCTCACCAATTGATCAATCAAGTTAGTTCTTAATAAAGATTTTCGAAATGGATATTCTGAAGGTAGTTTTCTTTCGCTTTAGAATTTTAATAAAACTAATCAATAGGAGAAAAGGTTTTTCTCTGTCAACCTGCGCAAGATCGATATTCTTAGCTTGTACCGTTTAAGAGTTATAGGATTTTTTCTGAAACCCTCGATTTCAGCTAACTGATCCGTAATCATCTGAAGAAGCAGTTAAGGAGAAGTAATTTATCATGCAGAGTCGAATGATGATGTTTGCTTCTAGATTTGAAGCGATCTCACTCTGTTATCTCAATATTTGTGAAATCTCGACTACTTCATTACATGGAGACTAATTGTGTAATTTCAGAAATATCAAGATAACAGAGTCAGATCATTTAGAACCTAAAAACAAGTATAAATCGAAAGAGAAACAGCTTTAGAATATTGTTTTCGAAAATTTCTGCTAATGACCCAACTAATTGATCAAATGCTGACTAACCGAAGTTCGATAAAATTCGATAGCCTCTAGTTTTCCCCTTTTTTTTTGAATCTTGGAAAAGGCAATATAAAATACTTTATTTCTTTCGATAACGCTTTGTAAAAGTATCTGTATAGTCTCAAACCTGTTAGAATTATTTATCAAGTAACAAAGAGCGACCAGGCTTAATTTTTTGCAGATGTTTTAGATTGATAATATTGATTGTTTTCATGAACAAAATTCAACGAAAGTTTTAATATGAATTCATAAAGTTTATGTGAAACTAACAAAATTCTTTAAATATACATTTATGAAAAGTCTGACGATGAATTAGAGAAGTGCGTAGTCATGCTTTTATAATTCTGACTTATAAAATCTTTTTTTAGTGATTCTGATGCAGGCCAGTACTATGAATATCTTTTCTTTCGAGTTTAAAACTTTATATTCATAATCAAATTGAAACATGAGATAATAAGTTGATCATGAAATCAATGAACAAGTCAATTACATATATTAATAATCAATTTTCTTATATCAACATTTGAATAATATAACAAACAAAATTGATTCTTATCATTCAGAGTCCTAGAAGCTAAACATGATAAATAAACCGGTTTTTTTTTTGTTAAAATATGGTCTATAAATAGGCTTCAATTAATAATCTAGTTATGAATTATGAATGACAAATAATAAAGAATTGAGTAGAACTTAAATTCAATAATGTCATTCAAAATTTTAAATTAAAATCAATTTGAATGTCTTTTTTTTTGTTATACTTACACTTAATGCTAAATGTCGAATATTTTCTGGTAAGAAATAATCAAATTGTTCAAGATATCTTGCTTCAGTCATCATTTCATTAAGTTGTGGATCAAAATCGATTGTATAACGAGGTGTAAGAGAATTTTCATCTATTAATAAAAATAACATTTATAAATCATTTTATCAATAAATAAACTAACTATCTCCAGTTGGTAATTCTTTAAGAACATTGCGTTTTTGTAATGTTGGTAAAATTTGTTCCGTACGTTGTTTCCATTCATTAAATTTTCCATCTTCATATGCTTTCATTTCTCTTGCTACACGAAGATAATAACTTTTAATCTATTTTAAATATAGAAATAAAATAATTTGAAAAAAAAAAAAAAAAAAAAGAAATTTTTAATCTACTTGTTTGCCAAGTTCTGTTTGCATTAAAGCTTCTTTTGTATGTAAACGTAACATTGTATGTTTAATACGACGAAATAATGAACGACTCCAAGCAACAGCACCAGAATAAGGTGGCTGATTTTTATTAACAGGTGGATTTGTTTTATTATGTTGAAATATACTATTAATTTCTGTGATCTAAATTTAAGAAAAATTAAATAAGAATTCTTTTTTTTTGTTCATTTTATATTTACTTCATTATCATATTGTCGTAAAATATCATTAAATCGTTTGTGCATTTCATCTTGTATAGTCATACGAGTATTATTTTTTTCAAATTTTAATAACATATCAAAGGCACTTTCAGCCGAACTGAAAATTTAAAATTTCATATTTATTTGATACAAATATAAGTTTGATCGAATAGTAATTTGACAAAATATTAATTCATTTTTCACTCTCTTTAAATGAACTTGAAGGATTTTAAAAACATCTGTTGAAATTCTGGTTTAGTAGTTTTGACCTGATCTTTTAGATATGATTTTGTTTGCATAGAATTAAATTTAAGGTTGCTCTGTATCCAGTGATATGGTCAAAATCATTCATTACCGACATTACTTCACAAAATTAAAACACATGTATCTCGGAATAATGAACATTTCTAGAGCTAAGTTTTATATATTAAGTTACTGTAGATGCTCTGAACCAGAGATGGACGGGCCGCGGTGTAACTTTTTGACTGCCCCGTCCATCTCTGCTCTGAACAGATCAGCACTAGTGACCTTTGTTCATAGGAGTTATCAGTAAAAAGCTAACGCTAGTGATGTGACACAAAAAAACTCATCGACTTTGATTTCACGCATTTCAGGTTTTAAAAACTAAATGAAGACAATCCTGAAGCTTTTAGATTTTTTTCTTGTATGTTTAGAGAGATATTTGTTAATTTCTTTTCAACTAATAATCAAGTAAAAGAGCCAACAATTTTGCATATGACTAAGCTAAAAGAAGGTCTTCAGAAAAATAACTCTTGTAAGGAATGAAAGATAGATATGTTCCGTTTCGCCTGAAGTGACCCATATAAGAATTAAGACTTTCAGAACAATCATTCAGGAATGATGAAGTTCACTTTGAAAGTCTATTTTATTTAGAAATCGAGAAAGCTATCTAATTTGTTATGGTATGTCTTACCAAAACATTCACTGTTAAGAAGTGTTTACTATTTCATTCACTTCTACTTTCAGTAATTTTGGTGCTTTGAAGTTCGTCCAAACTAAATTTACGAACCTCTAAAAGATCTGCTCATGATTCCTAAACTAGAAATTCCTAAAAAAGTTTGAATCTATGTTCGGAAAGGCCACAAAATTCTGATTCTAAGCTAATGTTATCAAATTTGTGCAGGCTGCTTTTTAAGAAGCTCAAACTGACGGAGTATTTTGCCAAATTACTTTTAGATGATGTGATCAGGAAAACTATTTTACCGTAAACTTTTAAATGATTCTGAAATAAAACTTTTTGTTTGTTCATCAATGTCTTCAATTTGTTGTCCATAATTAGCTGATACCATTTTCCATTTATCAAGATCTTCAAGACGAAATGGATCACAAGGAGCCTTATAAAATATAAAATAAAAATAGTAATTAAAATAAAATTGTTTTTATTAAATAAAATACTTACATGTTCAATTAATTCTAAAACTTTATGTACACGATCAAGAATTTCATTTATTTTATGTGGTTTTCCCGTAACAGATTTCAATTCAGGTGTAAATATATTATAAAATTGTTCGAGTTCTTTTGCAATTGCAATAAAATCATTACAAATAATTGCCATATGATCAGTTAATTTAAATAGACGTTTATTATCAAATTCCCATCGTGAATCACGTCCAGACTGTTCAATTTCAGCTCGAACATCATAATAAGACTAATAACGAAGAAAAAAATAATAAATCTTGAAAAAAGAAATTTAAGAAAATTCTTTTTTTTACTTGTTTCCAACGTTCTAACATATCTTTAGCTTCTGTACATTTTTCAATAATTTCACTTGGTTGATAACTAAAAACAATGACAAAAGAAAATTTTAAACTTTAAATAATCATAACTTATAAAAATCTCAATACCTAAATAATGTTCGAACATTAATACTACGTACAACACGTTCACATAATTGATTAGCAATACGTTCCATTAATGGTACCATACGTTCATCACGATTATAGTGTCGTGATATAATCCAAACCATACGTAAGGCACTCATCATTTTCGGTATGGTTTCAGTAACAACACGACATGTTGCACCATGTGTTACATTTTTAAAATGACGTTCAAGTGTTGATAAAAATCTATTAAAATCAAATAATGATTATTTTTCTAAATGCTTTTCGAAGTCTATTCGTATGAAATAAAAATTTTGTCTAGGTGTAGAACTCTTTGAACTGATATGGGGCTTAGATGCACCTGTGATTCGATGTGAAAAATAATTATAGATGACATTTTTTTTAAATTTTAAAATTAAAGTTGAATTTTTAGTTTTATTTCTCTGCAGACTACTTCAATTTTTGTTTATCTTAAAACCTCACTTTTGAAAAATAGAGTTTTTGATCAAAAGACGTTTTGTATAGAGAGGAACTCTTGATAATGTACCTATTTGTCTCACCATTCGATCTAACTTCAAAAAAATTCTTTTGCTAATCTCGAACAAAAATGGAGATAAAATTCCTAACGACATATTCAGAAATCGCACAATACGTTGGTCTTAGCCCATAGCTCTTGACTCTTGGGAAATACTTCCAAGAGAGTGAAAAATAAATAAATATTTTATCTCAATACTTTCGGTCTACTCGTTAATATCAAGAACATGCTTTCGTTTTCTTGTGATTTAAAATTCAATCTTACTTGACGTTATCTTTAGCTTCTAAATAATATTTTGATAAATCAGTTCGAGTATCACGAAATGATGATGGTGCTGCGTTCTCTGCTAATTCAAGTTTTTCAAGTACTTGTTCAACATGTTCTTGTTTTGTTTGTTCATATAAACTACTTAAGGAAATATTACGTTCACGCCACCAATCAATTTCACCTAACGGTCCAGATGTTTGTGGTATCTGGAATACAAGAAAATTTATTTTATTTATAATTATTCAAGATTTGTTTTTTTCTTTACTTTTTTTAATTCACGTTCAAGTGCTTCACGAATTTCTCCATTCCATTTATATACAAGAGTTTCAGCTTGTTCAACAGCATCTTTATTTATTTTAACAATTTTACTAATATCGAATTGTGGTGGTAATTCAAGACGTACTTCACCTTTAAAAAACGTATATGTAAATGCATTCTTTTATTGTTTTGTAAATAATTATTAGTTAATTTTACCTTCGAGTTGACGGAGAGTTAAACCAATTTGATTAAGAAATTTTTGTAATTGAATTAAAAATTCATCACGTAACATAGCTCGTAGTTCAAGTTCATGTTGACGACGCTAGATAATATGAAAACAGATATTCAAAAACACAAAATAGAAAATAAATAATTTTAATCAAACTTTTTCATTTCGTTTTTCTTCTTCAGTTTCTTCAGTAGATGGTCCTGATGGTGCAATGTCTTTCTGAGAAGTTTTAGATGATGCACTTCGACGTCCATCGACAACATTGGTTTCTTCATGTTCACTTTGATATGTTAATAACGGATTATAAACCTTAAACAAGCAATATTTTATAAGTCATTGAAAAAAAAACAGTTTTCTATGAACTTGAGAATAATAAATAAAATAAATTAGTATTTGGAAGAAGTTTTTTCATAGACTTTTGTGCCATTGAAAAACTTACAGATATTATCAAAGAGGAAGAAGCGGTTGCGAAGACTTAGATTGGGCTCTTTCCTCCCTGTATACAATGCTAACAATCATAGACATACGACGGTGACGATAATCACCGATGCGCCACTAAGACATTCACGTACAAAATAATGGTGGATATATGACAGAACTACAGTTTCGACTTTTTCGGTCACAAATGTCTCATTCCGATTTGAATGATTTTTTTCGCGTAAAGACTACATAATGTAGATGTAGACGCTTTTCATGGACAGCGTATACAACATGCATTTTTCGAAAGCTTCATATCTTATCGAGACTTTGTTCAAAACTTGTGAATTGTTTAAAGAAAGCTAGTGTATTGAAGTTCTCTATGTGCACAAATTTTCAGATCAAAATTCAATAGTTTAACCAAATTTCAATAGAAATTGAAATCTTTGTATGGTTTTCATTAGAACATTATGTAGACTCTATTGGTCATTGAAACCAGAAGAATACCCCATTAGCCTTTCTAGAAAGACAAAAACGAGCTCGAAACTTGAAACAAACTTTCTATAGATTCGAATTTCTGTACGTCAAAAACATTTCAGCAATTTTCTTAAAATGGCCTTCCCGACCGAAAACATCAAAATCAATCCAAGACCACCATAGCGTTATTGTGCGCTCATTGTTAGTCTATACTAGAGATCAGCGGGGTCAAACTTTTTAGCCCCGAAACCCGAAAATATTTTTTATTTCTCCCCGGTCCCGACCCCGAAGAGCCCCGATTTTTTCTCACAAATAGCTGACATCTAATATGCACGGCATTCTGTTGACAAAAAAATTTAGACAAGTTTTGATTGCTAGACAGTCTAACGTAATCAATTGTGAAAAAACAAGGTATTCTCTTCTGTCCTTTCTCTCGTTCCTTTCTA